CAGGAAATCCCAAAGGACCCATCCTCACATTCCCAAGAACATGCCGGCAGTAGCATACAACATACCAGTTCTGTATTTCCATTTAATACATCTGAATATCGTTTTGAATGCATCTGTGGTGAGCTTGGGTTGGCTGACTATAAAGCTCGTGTGCAGTGCCTGAAATGTTACTTATGGCAGCATGCAGAATGTGTAAACTACAAAGAGGAAAACCTGAAGATCAAGCCCTTCTACTGTCCCCATTGCCTCGTGGCAATGAAACCAGTTTCCACAGGAGCGACACTGATAATTTCTCCGAGTTCTATTTGTCATCAGTGGGTAGATGAGATCAACAGGCATGTAAGATCATCTTCTCTTCGAGTTCTGGTAAGATTATATAGCTTCATATTCTGGAGAGCTATTTTATCAATGCTCAGGGCTTCCTGTCTGACATTGTATCACGTAAAGGTCAGAGATTTCTCTGTCCTCTGTGTCAGAATTCTGCATTTCTTGCTATTAGACCTATGCTTTGGCATCACACGGTGCATTTAGTTTTTCATTTTTTCCTTATTAGTTGGTCACTGGAAGATGATACAGTGGACTAGATATCTTTATCAAATGGAAGCAAATTTTGAGCAGGTGCAACAACAGGTGATTTCTTAGAAGGCAGGCTGGGGTTTTTTTGGCTTTTTTTTTTGTTGTTGTTCTGAAAGATTACCAAGGAACTTAGAAAGGCCTAACTGTAGGTGTTTTGGCAGTGTCGTCTCACTGTACATTTGCACCCAAGCAGCTCTGACAGTTGCTTCTCATTTCATTCTAGATAAAAACATATGTTTCAGTAGGTAAAGAGTGTACTTTTGAATTTGTGGTTCTCAGGCTTTACAAAGGAAGTCTTGGGTCTTGGTGTTTATTGGGAATAACACCATTACAACTTGGGCATTGTCTCTATGACATTTGCCATATTTATTAGGATGCTGCTTATCTGGAGACCATGTATTGTCCTTTTACTTGATTTCTAATAGCTCTATAACTAATAAACCTAATTATATGTATAGTAACTATGGCTATGTAGGATTTTTTTTTTAATATAGTTATCGCAGTATTCCAGGATAGCCATTGTCTTTTATTAATGATGTAGTCAAGTTTTGTCCATATTTTTAGTAGGCAAGAACCTTTATAATGATAAAGTGCTTTGAGAACTGTAGATCCCTTATATTTTGAATAAAATAACAGTAGTAGTAGATTGATAAAGAGAGGAAGCTTTGTATTCAGGGGTATATCTGGTACCTTGAGCTATCCTGCATAGATGCCCAATGTATAAATGAATTCTAGGCCTCCAGTAAGCCATTTGTGTGAGCAGTCTTATTAGCTTTAGTGCACCAACTAACAAATGTGTAAAACTGGCACAGTTTTCATAGGACGCAGTCCAAGTTTTATACCAGTTTTGTGAAAACTGTCAGAAATAGATTTGCATGGCAACAGCAAAATAGCTTAAATACTGAATGTCAGTACTTTAAGCTGTGTGACACTTTCCATTCTAAGACACTGTTTTCATTTTCTTTTAACTGCCAACTGTAAGTCATCCAGACTTGCTTTCAGTGTTGCTTCAAAATGAAAATTTATTGGTTTTTTTCTGTAAAGTTAAAACAAAAATAGTGCAGATGTTTCAAAGAGCCAGTTTCCCGTGTTAACAGGTTTTGCATTGTACATGAAGGGTATTTTTTATTCTTCCAACTACTTAAAACCCATGGGAAGTTCTAATGGTTTTATGTAATAGAGCAAGAAATTAAAATTTATCGGTAGGTCTTGTTTTGTGGCAGGTTGTCTTTTTCTGCTGCTGTGAAAACAATCAAAGCTTGGCCAAGTTATAAACCTCCGGAAAATCTGTTCATAAATACTTGTAAGAGATCATTAGACTTCAACAGCTATTTTTTTTTTTCTCCTTAACAGTTGCTTCAGCGAGCATGCTCCTTTTTTTTTTTTCTTTTTTCGTTTTTTTTCCCCCTTTGCCTTCTCTCTCTTTCGTTCGTGTGCATTGGCCTGGTTGCACATGTTCTGAACAGAAATTTTCTGCAAGTGTTTCTTGCAGTTGACGTAAACGCTGTTGCCATATGCACAAATGTAGAGGAAGATTACTACTGGAAGAAAAAGTACAGTTAACAGTGAAATTAACAGTGAAATCATGTGCTGATCATCAAGGGATAAAGAGGGGGGAAATCAACTAAGATTTTACAGGGTCACCTTAATTTTGGTATTTTTAACTATTAGTTGTGTGAATTAAGAGAACATTTAAGTTTGTGACACTATGAGGGACTAAAAGACAGTGTGATTTTCTTAAATGGTAAAAGTGTTTGTAGGTAGTAGTAGATAAACAGTAACCAAGATGGTCCATTCTTATATAATTAATCATAAACTTGCAGAATGAGAGAGGAATAGAAAAATGCTAGCTATTTGAAGTTGAGACTAGAATATAGGTCCTTTCTAAAAAAAAAAAAAGGATATTCCTGTATCTGTCAGAAGAAAGCTTTATCTGTTTTAATATTGTGATTAGTATACAGATCTAGATGAGTGGTAAGAAGTAGCTGATGATAAAATTCTTAAAGTAAGCAATGGATGCCTGTAATTTTGAAGTAGGTTTCTGAAGTAAATTGGGAGCAAGAGAAAAAGTTTGTATGGGAAGGAAAAAAAAAGGCAATTGATATATAACTCTGGTGATAATTGTTTTTAGTAGCTCAAAATCCTGCGGATGAGAAAACATTCCTATTCTAAAAATATATTTTGATTGTGTACTGTACCCCACACTATTTGAAATTCTGAGATGTTTTGGTATTGTAAATATATTGGGACTTGTAATATGTGCTGTATTTATTTTCTTCAGGTATAGAATGCTACCATGGGGATGCATATATTAAAATGTTTGGTTTAGCTTGTTAATTTTTTTATTTAAACTGCTGTATGTTTCCAAAAGGATTATGCTTAAAATGACAAGGGAGATAAGAAAAATACTTCTGATATTAGAACAAATGTCATTATGAAAGTTTTATAATAATATTCTGTTGGTGCATAGGGATTGTTTCTTACTAGGGTATTCTTTTTATCTCATGAGTCTCTGTAGAAATCCTCTTTGTAGATAAAATATTATCCAGAGTATCATTTCTGGTTTTTAAATATTTTGCTGTATACTTCTGTCTTTGCTTAATCATCCATGAAATTTTTGAGGCAATGGGGAGAAAGGTAATACATCTATGGTAAAGGAGAGGAGACGACTGGACATGTAACACTGACTTACGTAATGTTACTCTGTACAACATTACAGAATACTTAATCTTGCAAACAACTGTTTTAACAAATAACTGTTGTAGAAAATACTGAAGTCCTTTTTTCTTCAAAGGAGGAAAAAAAATGTTTTGCGAAGGTATAAATAATCATACATAAAAATTTTGCATCAATGTCTCTGTATTGCATTTTTTACCTGTGTTACTTTTATGGATTTCCCACCGTACTACTATATGAATACAGGTTTTATGAATGGTTTCATATTATATGAGCAACACTGCTAAAAGCATGAACGTATTAAGCTGTACTGGTATTTTAGCATTTTTATTAGTGTCTCTTACCTTCATTCTTTGCTATTGTGCTATTGAATACAAATCTACGTAGGTGTATCAAGGTGTGAAGAAGCATGGCTTTTTGCAGCCACACATGTTGGCAGAGCAGGAGGTGGTTATCACCACATATGATGTTCTCCGCACTGAACTGAACTATGTAGATATACCCCACAGTAACAGCGAAGATGGGCGCCGTTTCAGGAACCAGAAGCGGTACATGGCCATCCCAAGCCCCTTGGTAGCAGTGGAGTGGTGGAGGATCTGCCTCGATGAAGCACAAATGGTTGAATGCACTACCGCAAAGGTACGACATTCCTGGGCATGCATTTATTCAACTTGAAAGGGTTTTGACAAGCTTATTGTAAATAACACAACAGACTTCCCTCTCACTCTCTTAGTGTTCAGTGCACTCAGGTAATGTGTCCTTGTAGCTTGTTCTTTAGAAGTGTATTTTCTGTTGGAGATATTTACTATTAAATGGTTCTCTTTTTGGAATTTTGGCAGACTGTGAAGTATATCCAGCTCAAAAAATACTTAACATAATCTATACCGACAGTTTAAAGAACTCTGTCATTGTGTTGTATATGGTGTTCGATGGTTTCAAACAAGACACTAGCCTGTTCAGTGACATTGTTCAGAGGCATAGATATGTCCTTTGGGTCTAAAAGCTAAAATAGTCAGCAGTCTGCAAACTCTAGGGCTGCAGTCTGTAGAGGGAGATTATTTTAATTAGTATTCATCCAGTCTTTTTGCCCAAGACAGGAAGACAAAAATGCTGCTTACATAATGGCTTATAGGCTTCAATTTATTTTTTTTTTACACAGTTTCTTTTGCTAACTGTTTGCCTTCTGCGAACCCTTAATTGCACTTGATTACTTGGAAGTAGATATGGCTTTTATCAGCTTTCAGTTACCTTCAAAAAAGCTCAATAACTTTATACACATTTTTATAATATATTATACCAATGCTGCTCATAGGTCTGCTAATCTTACATACTGAAAAGATGTTCAGACTTGTTAAAAATAAGGTCCACGTGTTTTCAGACTGTATTCCACTCTAGCTTTGTTTTTCTCTTCCTACCATTGGTTCTATCTTCTTTTGCTAGGCTGCTGAAATGGCACTCCGTTTAAGTGGAATCAATCGCTGGTGTGTCAGTGGCACTCCTGTGCAGCGAGGATTAGAAGGTGAGATTTTATGTAGCAGTGTCATCTGTGGGTTTTCCTTGTGCTGATAACTAGGTGGTGGTTTGAAGCAGCTAAAATGTCTACTAGTTTTTCTCTGAATTTGTTGGGTACTCTGACTTGGTAAGCCATAAACCTTAAGCATGTAATAAAGCCATCAATAACTGTATCAATATAAGAACTGCAGAGCTGAAATCTTCTTATCTTCCTGAGTTAGACAAATACTTTGGGGAGTGGAGCAGCTGTATGTCGAACAGCTGACTCAAGTCTGTTCTTCAGTCTTCGCTTAGCAGAGTGGGTAAATTTTAACCCTTCTCTATCGCAGCTAAAGATAGTCCGCTCTGGTTACAGGATCCTTCTAACTGTCAAATACAGCAAGCAAAGCTGTATTTGCTTTTTACATAGCCCTGTATGAACTACTGTGGGCATCAACTGCCGTGAATATAAATTCTAAAAATCGTTCTAAAGCTTTATGAAACTGTCTTAAGTCCTTATGTAAAGACTTAATGAATTGAGATGTGTGGAGCTGTATGTTAGCAGGTGTCATTTATCTTGTCTTTTTTGTGACGTACTCAGTTTCTGTAGACAGGCTTCAGGCAGAGATAGAAAAAAAGAAAGGGAACTGACTAACTTCATCTCCCTGTGTTCTTTGATGGATTTAGAAATATGTGGTACACATTGAGGCAACAAGTTTGAAAGTGGATAAATCAGTGTAAGCGTTTGCGAACTATTGTTCAGATACCAAACTATTATAAAAGTCAATATTGTAGATTAATTCATTATAAAATTGTGGATTAAACTTATAAATACACATAACAGCTGTGAGAATACATAGTTAACAAAGCAAACACTATAGAACGAAGTGATTGATTTCACTGTCATGATTAACTTGTTTGAGTCCTTATGTGTGATAGTGTTGATTTAATACATACCTGAAATGTCATATTGTCCATAATACATGTTGGCCAGGTGCTCAGGCTATGCGGAGGAAGCCCCCATCACATAGGGGATGAAAACTGCTGACTAATTTGAATCTGTGCCATTGTAATAAAGTGGGATAGGACCTCTGGGTAAACAATTGTTTCCTGCATAGAAATGATCCCCAGGATTTTTTTTCCTCTGGTCTATGATGTATTTGGTGAATGTCTTGCAGCTCTCAGCTGAATGCCAAAATTACCATAAAGCTAACAGAATAAAGAATGTAGCCACCAGATGTTTAAGAACTATCTATAAGATACCATCATATATTTTTATTCCTGCATTGTCCACATGCGGCGTTTAAACGTGTGCTTCTGTATTTTTCCAGTAAGATTTAGATACAAGTGTGAAGTCAGTATGTCCTTAAGTTTCGTCCCCCAGAGTGACGCGTTTCTGAATTGGGCAGAATTAGCAAGCTGTATTCTCTCAATTAGTAAGAAAAAAAAGTGTTTTGTTAATTTCTTATGCCTTAGTGGAAAAGTGAAAGTCTTCTGAATTGCAGCCCCTTTTAGGATGGTGGGCAACAGACAGTTGGTGCACAGCAGGCTGTGAAGTAATGATACTGAGCAATACTGTTTTAGAAAAACCTGGCAAACCCAGTTAACCATATGCAATCTTGTAATTTCTGCCTCTCACCTCTGCTCTGAATAGGTTTAAATTCATTGCTGTGTTCTGCTAAACTTGAAATTATGAAGGTGTCTCACAAATAGTAATATTCCAGTATGTTTTGTGAAAATCAACAACTAGCTAAAGGAGAGAATCCCTGCCTTCCCCGACCCGGTCCCCTGCCTCAAATGAGCTATTTTGATGAGGGAATGACTGGAAAACAAGTGGAAAAGATAATGGCCAGAATGTAGTTGCTTTATGCCTGGTAACCTTTGTACGAAAGTTAATTTTTTTGGAGGCATATTGTGAAGTATTAAAACACAAACATTGTACTAAAACATTTTCTTTTCTTGGCAGATCTTTATGGATTAGTCCTTTTTCTTGGAGTTGATCCTTACTGGGTCAAACATTGGTGGGACCAACTTTTATATCGACCTTATTGTAGGAAAAATCCCCGGCCTCTCTACAGTCTAATTGCCAAGATAATGTGGAGATCAGCAAAGAAGGATGTGATTGACCAAGTAAATAAGAGTTTTGGGTTTTAAAATTCCTGAACAACATTTATCAATAGCTTTATTTGCAAACTACACTTATTTTCTTTTTTAATTGCAGATTCAAATCCCCCCTCAGACAGAAAATGTACACTGGCTTCACTTTTCTCCTGTGGAGAGACACTTCTATCATCGCCAGCACGAGGTGTGCTGCCAGGATGCATTGGCAAAACTCAGGAAGATTTCGGACTGGACTCTGAAGCTTAGTAGCCTGGATAGAAGGACTGTGACTTCTATTCTGTACCCTTTGCTGCGGCTGAGGCAGGCCTGCTGTCATCCACAAGCTGTTCGGGGAGAGTTCTTGCCATTACAGAAAAGGTGAATTGCTGTCACTTCTTAAATGGCTTGCTTTATGCAAAGCAAAACTCTGTCCCTAATGGTGCAAGATCTTGTACAGTTCTCAAACAAGCTTCATTTTAAGCTTCTTCAGTTAAATGTGCAACTGTAGCACACCAAGCTATCTGACCTCAGAAGCTGAATAGGATGCAGTAGGGTAGTTAGTGTAATTCTTGTGTTAAAGAACATAGTACTGAGAGGCAGTTGTTTGTGTAGTAACATTTTAACCTTATGATGCTGATAGATACTAGGGTGTTGCAGGTGGCAGACTGAGTGTGAAACAAACCAGATTCTTTCTCAGTTTTAAGTCCACTGATTTTCTTTGTCTCTTGCAAAACACATGTTCATAAATGAGAACAATGAACAAAATGAATAAACAGAATGGAACAGTTCTTTAATTCAAAGAAAATGTTAATGTGAGATTGCAGAATTTGTAAATGTAGATCCAAACTTGAAAACTGTTCAAATGCTTCCCCCCCCCCCCCCCCTTTTTTTTTTTTTTTCTCCTCTACACCCACTCCACTTCC